CATCTCCAAATCCGGTCAAAATCCATATCGCCGGTATTATCGGTGTTTTGATGCGGCAAAAGAGAGGGTAAAGTCTGTTTAGCTTTAGTTATCGAAGGGTTGTTTTCATAAATATTTTGAACAAAATGTTGGAATGTTGTAGCTTGAGAACGGTGATCACGTCTTCAAATGGGTCGACGAAGCTCTCACCGATGAAGATTGAACAGTTGGAGTACCAAGTTCGAATGCTAGAAGAAGAATTTTAATTGCTCAAAGCAACAATAAGCAGTGAAGGTCCCAAAATAATTCCTAAGATAATGATATCAGGATGTTGTGTTGTTAGTATCATCATTGTCGTTGTCGTTCTCGGTCGAATGATGATGTACAAGTGATTCCTAAAGCTAGTGACTTTGTCAAATATTATGTTTTCTATAAGTTTTTTGTAATTTATGTGAAGTTAAACATAATGTTTATCTAAGTTTTTCCTAACTTTCTCCTAAATTATGCGAACTTAAACTACTACGAAGTATGGTCAGTTTAAAAAGTTTCTCAAATGTTTACGATGTTGGACAATTGAGAAATTGAAGCTAACAGAAAATTTGACCTGGTTATACAAACACCAACTTTCAAGTTAAGTTGAACTACTAAGAAGTTTGGTAAACTTAAAAGTTTCTCATATGTTTACGATTTTGGACAATTGAGAAATTGAACCTAACACAAATTTGACATGGTTATACGAACACAGACTTCATATTAACTTGAACTTATTCTTAGGTTCACGCACTTGGACAATTACAAAAGTTAAGAGAATCATTTTTTAATACACATTAACACAGTTCAACATCACAAACCAAGTTTCAGAAACACTAATACATTAGATAAAACCTTACAAAATCCCTATAGCTCCGTACTTCCGAACATAAGGGTCACTATTATTGACCGATTGTCTGAATTCCTCTACCTCTGGTAAGCGCGGAGTGAACCTGAAGTCAGATAAGTTCCTCTCGGTCTGAAGCCATTCTTCTATAGGACCAGAATAAGATGTATATAAATGAGTTTAGATAAGGTTTTAGTCAACTAACACATTTAAACCTGAACGCATAAGCATAAATTTCACTTACAGAAATAGTTGCGGACCCTCCACATCTTAAGGACCACAATCACATGTCGAGAACCTCCCATGTTTTCAAACCCTTCCCGGAAGGCATAAGCATGTTTCCTAGTTGCTACACATTTTATCTGACTCTCACTATGATGAATAAAACAAGGTGAGTCAATTACACTAATGCAAACATTTTGTTTTGATCATATGTTACTTAATACTTACATGTTGTCCCTTATGTAAAACACCATCTTTGGTCCTTCAGGATCATCAAAATGGGCTTTCGTCTTAAAGACCACTTCCATTGTATCTATCAGATAAGTATATTCGATTCCGTTACTTACATATGAAATATATTTATTAGTTAGAATTCATACCTATGGGAAAATTTATCTCCTTGTAGCTCATGTGAGGGATTTCATGAATGCCTTTGAACTCAAAGTAAAGCTGATTGTTCAGAGGATCGATGATGTGGATTTGGGTATCGCCAGTAGCAGTTAGTGTAAATTTTGATTTTGTTACCTTGAAACCTGAATGGGCACGGCCAACATCTACAATAAAGATTTCCACCCATTTTCCCTCTTGTTACTCTAGGTCTCTAAACCTATCTCCATATATATCATAGATGGTCATCTCCATCTTGGTTCCCTGCATAAATTAAGTTCAATGAGCGAGTTTATATTTTTCATTGTTGTTATTAGAAACTTGAGAGATGATGATTTTGTACTTGCATGTTCATCTTCTAGGACATAAACATGGTGTGGTCCTTTGCATGTAACATAGGAATAGAAAGGATAGATCCTTATGATTTTCACTCTGAAACGCCAATGCTTGACCTTCTCACTATAGACAACTTCACCAAGATTATTGTAGTGTTCCATATTTGAAAGATGATGAATTCTTTCTTTGCAGTGAAATGTTTTTAGATATAAAGGAGACGATTTAACTTAACTTACTGCGGTGGAGTGGAGATTAAATTGAGGGTTTCTTTAATTGAATGCAAATGTAATGATGATCTGGTTTAGTTGTGGGATTTATAAGTGTAATGATGATAATAGGCGACTGTTAGTGTGAAATTCGTATCTTTCTTACTAAACTCAACTTGTTGTGTTGGGGTAATAAATCTGAAAATTGTGGAGGGGAAGCCACCGTTTACCTATCAAATCACTCTTAAATGGAAGAGTTACAACTTGTAATTGGGGTAATAAATAATTATTACACAAATTAAATTACTCTTCATTTATTATCCCCTATTTTTCTTAATGAATAATATATGTATTTCTTAAAGGTTTACATAGTTTCATATATTTAGACTATCAAAATTGTTACGCTTATCTAAATTGTTAAACATTTTCTTAGTTTCATATATTTAGACAATCTAACTAAGCGGTTTTACTTAGTTTTACAAAGTTATTTATTTTTATCATTTAAAGTTTTACAAAGTTTTAAATCCAACGAATGCGACTGTTGCAGTCAGAAGTTGTGCCTTCTCGAGACCTCCATCAAATCACCCTTAACTGCCGTGATAAATACAATCTTATCTCTTCTCCACTGTTGAGGATTATCGCTATTATAAAAGGGTTTATCATTTTGTCCAAATAAAAAAAAGTTATTCTTTCCATTTACATGATAAAACAAATATCTCTCACCATGTCGAACTCTAACTTGGATTCTCTCCCTCCTTCCATGCTTCACAAGATTCTCTCTAAGGTACCATTTTCGGGACTTCGATAGTGCAAGAGTTGCATTACCCGCTTTCAATCAAATTGGCAGAGAAGAATACTTCTACAAATTTGCCGATCTTATTCACTTCAATGACTGGATTGATGAGGTTAATGTTGTCAGAACATACAGGCTTAAGATCTTTATGTCTCTATTGGAAAAGATAGATCCCAACATCAATTATAATTGCTAGTGCGCAGAAATGATGCAACTAGTGTTTGTTGTCACCTTAGATGGATCAAGAACACGGTGGAAATGCAATTGTTGTTTCTGGCAATGTGCAGTTTGGAACTTCTACAATGATATTCATTTGAACGCTTCTCCGTGGCCAATCGAAGATTAGGGATCAAGTATTTTTGTGTGTTTATAAGTTATGCACTTTTCTAAACTTTATGTAAAATACATTTCCCTTAATGTAATGTCTTTAGTTTATATTTATCTTAATTTCACTAAATATATCAGTAACATAATGCAAATGAATAACTGTAATCAAAGCTAAATCGATATGTTATAACTAAATATATCAATAACATATTGCAAATGTACATGATATAATCAAAAATTAGGTTCAGGTTTACTAAGTTGTATAGTTACTACAAGTGTGAATTAGTTCAACTTAGATTGCAGTTATACTTATACGAAGTTATATAATTACACAAAGTTTTAGTAATATTTCTGAAGTTATGGACACTGGAGATCTGAATTTTATGATTCGGGTATGGATAGTCTGCGAAATACCCTTAGTTACCTTGTAATTGTTCAAATCTATTTCGGTCTTCTGGTCGTTTACTAAATTTTCCTATTTAAATAAAGATTTATTCGGATTTATTGGGGGTGAATTTCGGGCAGGAATATTTGAAAATAAAAATTTTAGGATACAGATGCTGGAGCATTTGGTTCCATCTCTTCACCGCCTTTAATATCTCTTTTTCAACAAAAAAAATAGTATGAATATTCGTTTAAAAAGGTTTTACATTAGTTAGGGTCTCTGCAATGAATACAATAGTTGGGAGACACATGATAAGTGTCCACCCTCTAAAAATCTCTTAAATGGATAGGTATTCTTTTTCTTAAAGAAAATGATTAAATCTTGGTTTATTAAAGATATAGACTTAACTTCCTGGTGAAATGTGCATCCCACAGATAGACCCTTTTAAAGGTATTCAAATGGACAAAAAGTAGTAGTCCATATCCAGGGTCGTGCCTGACTTTTTGGGGTCCAGAAACAAACAAACAAAATTGGCCCTTTAGTATAATATTTTTTACAAATTGGTAGTAAGTATGTATTGAACCGCTACCAAATTGATCAAAGAAGCACCACACAACCATCTGAACTAACTAATCTTTTGACAAATTGGCCCCTAAAATGTATTTAACACTGTTGGCCCCGAAGCACATGTTTGATGGGCTTGTATTCAGGCACGGCCCTGTCCATATCCATGTAAGGTGACCAAGAAAATGTAACTTAATTTCGCATAACAAATGAATCAAAACTGAAATGTGGTGACATCCCAAACCATCCCCTTACCACTTGACCACAAACTCTGGGTCATTCATCCTCTGAACGTCCATAAACATTATTTTTTGAAGTAATTTGTATATGTTTCATTACAATATTCATTCTCACGAAAATGATATAATTTTTAAAAAATATGATATGGTTTTCGAAAAATATGATATCATATCAATCTAATTCTGATATCTATAATTTCTTTTATACAGATTTATACTTTTAGCAAAGTTTTTTTCCTTTAAATATGATAATGATTAATAATTCTTATAATTAGATTTTGTATATAAATATTTATTTTAGCTAGGCCTTTTGAAATATAAAATAATAATAACTCTTATATCAACCTTAAAATAAAATATTTATATCACATTAAAATATTAACTAACTAGAATTAAAAGCATTTTTTACATAATTTATACATCATATTTTGTATATATATATATATATAATCAGAATTAATTGTATGTGTACATTAACAAATATGAAATTAAAGTAATACCGATAAAATATTTTTATGTTGATAGTTAAATAACTAAATTTTATGTAAATTCATTGGTCATTAGGTTAATTAACATATTGATATTTACCAATTCAAGTTATTTAACTAAAAGAATAAAAAAAAACCAAAATTTATATATTTCAATAAATACGTTTAAAACTAAGAAATAAGAGAAAGATTAAAAATAAATAATTATTAAGTATAATATAATATATATATATATAATTGTTTTTATAAAATATAATTTTAACTCTATTGAAATTTGTATAATATTAAATTGAAAGAGTTAAAAGAATAAAAAAATAAGACTACAAAAAATATTTGTGGTTTTTTCACACCTGTAAAGTTAATAAAAAATTTAAAACGTAAACTAATATTCAAAAAAAAAAACATAATATCAAATTTAAAATTATTATTTTGTACTTGGCGCAAAAATAATCCTAGTAAGAATGATTAATTCAAAGAATGATATATTCAGGCTGTATTTAAAGTTTTAGATCACAGTTTATATTATTCAGTTATAATACTAATTAGATCATGACCCGTGCGGATGCGCCTGTTTTATTTTTTCGAATGTACTCTATATAATTTATTTTTATATAGTTTCGAGTTTGTCCAATTTGATTTTATGTTTAAAGAACAATAGCGTCAAGAAGTGTATTATGTAGATGTAATCGTGCAGTGAAAATACTAATTCAATACTTTGTTCGAAGTGCAAAATCAAATTCAAAGTTAAATTTTTGCATTAAAAAGTAGGGTAGACGATCTATTTACCCATGAGAACTATCATATAGCATCAGATCTCCACTGAACTATGACCAAATGCTAGATCTCCACGAATTGAAAACTGCAAACCTATTTCTCTCCGAATCAATACTTCAAAACTTAATTACCCACACACGATGGTTTTAATTGGTTTATTCTTAACCAAACATCTTAAAATCAAGTAAACCAAACCAAAATCCAATTAAATAAAAAAAATCTTCTTCTGTTGTAAAATAAATCCATTAAAATGTTTACATAAGAATGTTTACGGTGATTCAGGTGAGGATTTAATTGGATTTTAGTTTGGTTTACTTGATTTTAAGATGTTTGGTTAATAATAAACCAACTAAAACCAATTAAAACCATCGTATGTGGATAATTAAGTTTTGAAGTATTGATTCGGTGAGAAATAAGCTTGCAATTTTCAATTTATGGGAATCTAACATGAGGTCACAGTTCGGTGGGGATCTGATGCTATATGATAGTTCTCGTGGGTAAATAGATCGTCTACCCTAAAAAAAATAAGTTGAGAGTTTAATTACTTCTGATCTTAATAATTATTCAAAGTTTTTAAGATAATCTACAAATTTCTAGAATTTTTGGCCTTAACCTATATTGTGTAGGTTAGGTTAAATTCAAACTTAACTTTGGTCTTAACTTTGCAAGCACGTATATTTTATGATGAAAAATTTCATAAATAACTTAACAAATATTTTGGTAATTTGAAAGAATATATGTGTTTAAAATATTTTCATTTAAATCAGTATTTTTAAATTCAGTCTGGACTGCGGTTAAACTGGTGAGCCATAATTCACTTTTTATTTTTTAAAAATATTCATATTCAAATAATCACCAAACCCGAGACTAACGGATTAAACCGATGGATAACTGATATATAATATTTAAACCTTTAAATATAAGTTTGTTTTCATTGTTTTATATATTATTTGAATTTTTTTAATTTATCTAAATAATTTGAAAGAAAATTATGAAACTATTAAAAAATGTGATATCTAATATTTTGTATTGTTTGGACATAAGATTAATGATAATGTTGTTTGGAAACATGGATAGTAGTATAAAAAATGAATATATTGTTTGGAAACATAAATAGTAATATAACAAAATAAAATTATTGTTTGGAAACATGGATAGTACTATAAAGAAAAAAATATTAGTAATTTAATGTATGTTTAACAGTAAAATAGAAAAATGTATTCAATTTAAAAACTTACAAAATAAATGTTAGGTCCACCCTAACATTTCTCTTTTAATAAGATAGATCTATTATCAACCGATGTTTGATATAATTGTAATGCATGTTTCAATAACATCTTCTTTTTTTTGAGCAAACAACAATTGATAGATTTAAGAGAGCATTT